CAGCTTCCTGTTGTGCTTCCTGTCATTGTTTCTGTCAGGAAATGACCAAAGTGTGATAAACCATAAACTGTTATCTAAGTGTGTAAAAAATAATGGTCTGCTTGATAGAAGTGGATCCTCCTAAAAGTTATTTATACAATGTAGGTTCATAAAGGATGAGGTCCGTTTCTCATCAAGTCTGGGAATCGGATGAACATAATGCCCTAAGAGTAAAACTTAAAGAAACAACAACTGCCCAGTGCTGATTAGCTGAGCCAGCTCTGCTCCCCCTCGCAGCGGGTAAAAAGGACAACGTTGTCAGGTGTGGTTCTTTTCAGGTCATTCTATCTGCGACAGTCAGATGACAACAGTGGTGACTGAAGAACGTAATTTTCAGCACCAACATCTTGGTCCTTCGAGCCGGAAGACGCCTAACTGTACAGGAAACCACAGTAGCTGAAATTCTAAAATGCAAATCACACGCTACGCCCTGGTTGGTTTGTTTACGGTACATTGGCGTCAGCTTCTCATTACTGGACTCGTCGTCTCGATAAAACGAAATGTGCCACGGCACAGAGGGCGGGAAATCACTGCTATGGTGTGTAGTAGTGACCATGTAGAGTAAGAACTGATCACCTGGTACCAAACAGCTCCACACATTTAACCCAACGTAGCATGTTTGTAGAGGACACATAATATATTCTATTTATAAGAGTGACATATATGTTTAACGTTTAAGATCACTTCAGTCTGGTGTGGACACCTCTGTTCTAGATCCTAAAATATACAAGGGTAACGTCTGCGAGAATTACTTTTGGTAAAACAGCGGACGACGATACGGCAAATAATAAGAACTCAGGTGTAAAGACTTCTTACCTTTTCCCTCTTTCATTTCAGAGTCTGTGTACGGAGTCTTTCTGGTGGAACAGTTCTCTACCTGTGGAGAAAAAAACAAAACAAAACATAAATTGTCTTAAAGCTCAGGTCCACGGACCAGTACCAGTACGTTTTATATTTAAAGATCATTTTTATTGTATTTTAAAATACCAGGTCATTCAGACTCAGATACAAACAGAACAGAGTCTAAAAGACGTTTTATTTTGAAAATGTAATGATCCTTCAATGCCTTGGTACTGGTCTATATTTGGCCCCCGGGCCATGAGTTTGACACGTATGCTCTAAAGGGAACATCTGTAGAACGTCTCTTCTAGGTATCGGTTGATATCAGAATCAGACATTTCGTGCTTGGACAATATCGGCAAAAAAAGTAAATATCGGACATGGCTAATGTGTACAAAAATAAAAAGAACTGAATATATTATGGACATAAGTGAAGACTCACGATGTCTCTGTACAATAATCCTCGTGTCGACTAAAATGAATCCTCTAATCTCTTCGATACGCTAAAGGTAATTGTTTCTTGTAACTTGTATTTAATCTGGTCAGAGTTGAGATCTGGGCAACATGTGACCGTCCTCACAGACAGACGCTGCCCGCAGTGATTCTTCATTCCTGAAACATCTACACATGGATTCTGAAGGGAGATAAAATGTGGCGCTTCTTTCTGAAGGGGTTTCTGTGGCCGTCATGGTGAGGGTAATTCTGGATCTGGGAGGTGGATTTTCCCCGGCATCCTGATCCTCTTTGTCAGCTTCAACGCATTTCAGTCGACTTGGTATTAGTTTTTTCCCCCAATGGGAGCTTTTATATTCATAACAATTCCATATATAGACATAAGAACTTCTAATCTGCTTTTCTTCTATCTCTACTTTAAAAAAAAAAAAAGAAGAGGCACATGCTCTCACTGCCCACGCTGTGCCAAGCAGCCGAATTTAATAAAGTACTTCGGAAGTTTCCAGGGACGACGTAAACTGCAGCGGCCCATGAAAAAGCCCTTCAACTTCTGCATTGATTGTGTTACTTTCATTATCTGTGTTATTGAAACTAAACAATGTTTCCTGGCTGTGAGATTCCACATCATTTGGATTTTCCTTTTCCTTCAGGGAAGAAAGACCAGATCAGCAATAGTTATTGTAATGGCTTTGGTGACGGGATTCAAATCTACTACAAAATACTGCGTTAAAAAAACAACTTTCTCTGATCACGATGACGACGGTGTTTTTTTTAAATTTTTTTTTTTAAAGCGATTACATTTGGAAGAGAGTTTTAAATCTAACGCAAAACCTGCTTCTGTAAACAATGTTTCCTGGCTGTGAGATTCTACATCATTTGGATTTTCCTTTTCACGCGAGAAGGGGAGTTCGTACCAGCGAGGTGGAACTGACAGCTTCTGACGTCATCACTGACACCAGATCAGTTGTTGAATATACTGGTGATGGATTTGGTGACGGGAATCAAATCCGTTCTTTTCTCCTACAACATCAAGACTTGAATCGTTAAACTGGAGGTTCATGTCATCTGCAGCCATGCCGGACCACCTCCGACCCGGACGGTACATCTCCGCGCCCGTCGTCGGACCAACCCCCGGAGGTTGCGCGTTCTTCGAAAGTCACGTATTGTACAACGAAACCCGGTGGTAGAATCTTTAGCTAACATATTTTCACACCTCCTATTTTCACAAAGTGCGACGGTCCACACCTCGGTAGTGATTTCAAAGGTTCGTGCACCACATGTGGGCATAAATGCGGGCCGGGGGTGGAGGCTATTATGGAGGTTGGTCCGACGACGAACCCGGAAATGTACCGGCCGGGTCAGAGGTGATGGACCTTAACGCGGGTGTTCAATCAAACACTGCTTCCCGATTCTATCACGGCCCTTTTCTGTGTTTGCACACAGACCAAATAGATCACTGGGTCGAATCCCGTGCACGAACTCTCAAACTTGGAACTGAAGCTCATTATGACTGAGGTGCTGAAACACAGGCCAAGAAAACGAGGTAAACACACCTTTCAGTTAGTTATAGGACAAACACGGCGTTCACAGCCTCACACACACTCCTCACACACACGCTCCTCACACACACTCCTCACACGAGGAGAAAATAGTTTTTTACCTTCATAAATCACTGGATGAAGACTTATTTTTTCTTCAACAGAATAATTATATTTGTCTGAATCTTTTGGCAGCAGTGTTTCAAATACCGCAGACGTCACGTGTCCTCATATTTAACTATTAAAGTATTAACTTGTCAAATTTTCTCCAAGAGCCTTTCAAAATGCAACATCTAAGCGTTAGAACTGGGACGATCCTCTGACGTCACCGTCGCAGATGACGACGTCTGGACGTCCGACTGTCCGTTGTGTAACGTTGTGACGGAACCACTTTATCCCATCGCCCTGAATTCCCAGCACGGGGAGGAACACGTCCGACACCGACGTCCGTGTTCCCGCTGACATCAGCTCCACTTCTGTACAGTGGGCCGTGGAGAAAGACAACGTGGCCAATTTTTCACAGACACACCTCCCACAGACAAGTAATCTGCTGCAAGATGCTGACATCAGCAAAAGTTGGACGAGGGGTCAGGTGGGGTCGAGGCTGCCACTCAGCCGTAGCCAAATCAAAACAGCTTTGGCCGACAGTGCAGGCTGAGCAGGAGGAAGCCATAGAAGGAGGGGAGGAGAGAGAGAGGGAGGGGGGGAGAGGGGGAGACAGGGAGGGGGAGACAGATAGAGATGACTTCACTGGAAGTCCTCAGTTCTCGACATTTCATTGACTCAGATCTGATGCCTGAAAGTCTCCTTCCCTTTTTTTTTTTTTTTTTTTTAAAGATGTTTGAGTCATAACGGCTGATGTTTGGACAACCTTGAGTATATTTGACTAAAGAGAATGTTGGGAAATGTTGGCACCGGTCGGTACTCTGTGACCGTTGGCTCCACACACGGACAACGGACAGAATCGATACCTGAAACACGGCTCATCTGCTGACAGGTCACCTGGAGACAACTGTCTCATCCAACACGACCTCGGCGGGTTCTAGTGACTACAGTAACGGAACCGAGTCCACGTCCCAATTAGACGGTTTTAGAGGAAACAGAAAAGTATCGATCCGCTGCAGACTAGAGGCCAATGAACTGTTGACATGTCAAAACCATTCGTCCTGGTAGTGATAACGGATGGAGACAGTGAAGTTCAGGTCCAAATCCATTTGTACACATTCACTCCAAACACATTTTCTCCGTGGACCTGAGTCCAGTGGAGACTCTCTGTCTTTGGTAAAGAGTTCTACCCAAAGGAAAACTCATGCACAGACCCGGATATGTTCCACACAGATCTGCTCAGATCCAGATCCAGATCCAGTCAAGGCTCACTTACTCACAGCAGATCAAACCAAAGTTCTGACGCACACCCTGGACCCGAACCGAGCCAAGCGTCTCACTCACCAGCAGATGAACGGAGCAGAAGTCGGTCCTCTGTTCTGTCTGATAACGGTCCAAAAACCAAGTTCACGATGCCTTCACGGTGACGATCACTGCGTGGGAAAATCACCAAAGCCGTCCGTTAGGTCGGTTATGAAAAGGCAGTGATGTGACCGGAACATGAAACGTCCCACAGCGTGGATCACCCGAACCTCAGACTCGCCGTGAGCTCTCGAGACTGGCATGGAGTCCTTTGGTCAGATGTAGCTGTTCTCTGCTGCACTTTCTGCCCGTTACAGCGCGTTCCCGTTTTCTCTCAGCGCAAGGACGCATGCGCACGTCAATACACGCGCCCCGGCTGGCTGGAACTCAGATCCAGATACCTAATCTATTAAAAAAATGGTGCCAGTCGAGTGGAGGCTACATGTTGTCTTCTCTGTTGCAGCAGTGACGCAGTAATGTCCCGCGTGACCCTCCCCTCACTGCGACCCCCCCGCACGCCGACGCTCTGCTCCAAACCGGTTGTTTTATCGCAGAGCAATAAGAAACAACATCTGGAAAGTTCTGCAGCTGGCTGCTATTTTTTTATAGCTCGGAGAAGACCATAAATCTTGGACACATATTGAAGCAGGATACTTAGTCCGGTCTGGTTTACAGAGAAAAAAAAACGATGTAAAAGCCAAAAATGTAAACTTGTAATTTCATCAAACACTGCAAAACAAATTTGCTGTTTGATGCTGAGAAGCGTGCAAAAAACAAAACAACAACAACAAAAAACAAAACAAATGGAGTTGGTCCGACATTGGGCAAGAAGTTTGAGTTGTTTCACTCATACAAACATGGCTAGCTACACTGGCTACTTCACTAAACCCAATAAATAGGCTGCTTTTTAACCAGATACACGCTCAAAATAAAATTACACATGCAATGCAACATGAACTGTCCGGTTTGAAGACTCAAACGCATGAAGTCAATTCAGTAAGTGTATAATTCTAACTTCTTTACAAACGCGTACGCCAACCTGCCCGACTTTTTTTTGGACTCGAACTTACGTGCTGTTGTTCTGAGGGTAAGTCGTAGCTATTCAAAAAAATAAAAATGGAAAACAAATATTTATGAACAGCTATTTTTCATTAATTATTATTTGAATCTAAACACATCTGCATACAGTATTTTTCTGTTCTTTGGGTTTTGGAAAAGTAAAAAAAATCAATCTAGTCGAGTACGAATAAAAACATTCCTGGACCTTTTTGATTTTTCTCTTTAATCCTGTTATAAATGATAAGACGAAGCAGAAATGAGTAAATAATTTACTCACAGGAAGTTCATAGGTGAACTACTGTCAACACATAGGAACAGTAATTTAAACCTTCGACTCGTGGATGGTTGTAAACGTACTTTAGGCCAAATCTCAATCACCCTCCCCTCCGTCCCCCCCTACTGTTGTGTTTTGTCTAAAACCAGGCTGCTGTCTGCTGATCCTCTCTCTCTCTCTCTCTCTCCTCCCCCCACCTTCGGTCCAGACAGATCCAGACATGAACAAACATCCCGGTGGCACCAGTGCAGGTCAGAGCTGGCAGTGATGCCGCTGGTGCTGAAGTGCACAGGCTAACGAACTCTTCAGTGTCAATAAACCCCGGGGCAATTCATGAAGACTCACTCATCTGCCCCGGGTTAGGACTGCAGCCTTCCTCCAGAGGGCCCAAACATCTGCAGCGTGCTGTTGCTGTTGGCTGTGATTTAGTAAATGTCTGTTTGTGAAGGAGACAACAGAGTGGAAGTCATGGGGAAAAAAACAACACCGACGAGGAGAACACAAAGAAAAGTTCCTCGGTTATTTCAGAATCTGAAACCTTTCTGTGACCTTGATAACAAACCTCCATATCTCCTCTAATGTATCTGCTGGCTGTGGACCAGGGGCAGTGCAGAGGTTCTGTAAACAATCTAAAAGCTTGGAGTGTGCATCACTTCCACTTAATACACCGTAGAGCGCCGTTTCATTATGAAGCCGTTCAACGCGGAGCAGGAGGCTGTGAGCGCTGAGCCTTCAGTCTGGATACAAGAACGAGAGAGGGTTTAAAGGTGATTTTGGGGAAAACAAAGAAAAGTGTTCAACAACACTCCAGTCCTCCAGCTGGGACGTGTTTGGATCTCCGAGTCTGCTTCCAGTCAAGCAGCTGCTGCTTCTCTGGAGCTCTGAGCGCCCGGCTCACTCACCCACAGATCCAGACGTCCAGATCGGGCGGTACCAGCGGTACCAGAGGAGACCACCGTGGTGACTGAGACCTGAGTGCGTTTCCATAGTGCCACTGGTCCAAACACACCATCCTGTGGCTTTTATTCTTTCCAACTGGAATGCTGACACAGCAGGGGATTTTTTTTTTGTCTTTCATCTGTAGGAATTTCCCTGAAAAAAATATTTACAAATACAATAAAAACCAAATAAACAAATGTTCACACTCGCATTCGTACTCAACTTACATCACAAGGCCTGGTATCTAAAGACCTATGGACCGGCACCGGTCCCCAGACCACTACATTACCACCATCATCCAAATAGTTCAAATTGTGTTTTTGCTGCTCTGAGTAAATTTGATTTGATGGTAAATGTAGAAAAATGTCTCCTCTGGTGTTGAAGGCTGTAGACCACGGACTGGACTGAAGGACTCAGGTACTGGACTGAAGGACTCAGGTACTGGACTGAAGGACTCAGGTACTGGACTGAAGGACTCGGGTACTGGACTGAAGGACTCAGGTACTGGACTCTACGTAGGTTCAACAAATGACAACAAAGGTAAACACACAGATGGGTGGAGGGAGAAGGAACCAACAGAGAGAAGAGGACAGTAAAGGACCAGCTCCAAACTTCTTCTTCTTCCCCTTCTTTTTCCTCGCTGCTCTGCTGCTTCTGCTGCTGCTGCTTCACGACTTTGATGCTGCCCGTGCAGATCGTCTACAACTGCGAAGGTTTTCTGCTGACACCTAAATTTCCCGTCCTGCTGGTTTTCCTTGGCGAACCACCTCCTCCCTAATTACCCAGGATTCCTGGAAGTCGTTCAAATTTTTTGGTAAACTTGTCTTTTGCCAAAATTGGACGCAGGCAGAACTAAGAGCGCTGTGGTGACGACGTGTAGACACGCAGCTCGGTTTAACCCAATACAGTGTTAGCAGTGAAAACAGTGACTTTCGTCGTACGGATGGAATTCCTGCCTTGTTGTAAACACTGCGGTGTGCGGAGCACGGCTAAAGCAACACTGCTGCTGTCCTGCACCGACACTATTCTACAGTAACTACAACGGGAGTTCACTTCACTACGACGACGACGACATCCTGAAGTAGAACAAACGGGATAAACGTCTGAGTGAAACCACATGAAACCACTGCTTAGATCAGTGTCGGTGTTGTCTCTGACTCATGGGTTAAAGAGTCCAGAGAGTTCTATTTGAATCACGTCCATTTACCTGGTACACTGGAGTTAGGCTTTGTACACAGAATAAGGTTGCTGGTGTGATTTTCATGAGGTTTAGCTGTTGATGTTGATGTTTAAAAAAATGTCCTGAGGCTCAAAAATCAAGTTCCAGTGACTTGAATGCAACCTAGAAGTGAAGAAGCCTCTTGAACGAGAGGCGAAACGTCTTCTTGAGAAAATGTCATGTCCAGTTGTCAGAACGGAACTCTCTCAACCGCAGCCTAGATGTTAGGCCTGTAACATTTCTCTAAGATATTATCAACTGATCTGTTAGTATGACTAGTAGGTTTCAGTTTGTGTTTGTGTGTGTGTGTGTGTGTGTGTGTGTCAGCATTATTTGTTTCTGTTACAATAAAACACCATGTGCCCCACAGAGATTAGACTTCAACATTTTTTATCTGTCAACGGTGGCTTCTCACAAAAGGGCCAATAATCTGCAGTCTTTTACGGTCGTCTCAACATCTGCTGAGGATGGAGGGGTTGGGGGTGAATAAAAGGGAGGGAGGACAATGCAGCAATAATTAAAAAAAAGAAAATTACAAAAAAAACATACAGCACTTTTCAAAGACAGATTGTGTCTGGCATAATAAAAAAAAATAATAATAAGGCCCATGTTCCGCTCCAGTTGTTTGGATGAAAAGCTGATATTCTACACTCTGGTCCCGGTGCCAACCTGTAATAAAGGAGCTTGATTGAACAGGTGAGGCGCTGCCAAACACAAGAACGATTCTTCAGCATGTTCCGACCAAACATAGCTGAGCCTAAACCGTCACTGATTCGTATCAGGACCCGCAGAGCAGGCGCATCACGCCCTCTAGCGGTGAACTCATCTATATGACAACCCCATCATTGAAACGATTTTGACTCAAACTTTTTAAAACGAGATATGTTGAGTATAATTAATATATTTCCCATACGTGTACGCGTTATTTTGACCTTTTTAAAAAAGTTTGTTGTATGTTTGAAATAAAAAAATGAATATGTGTTCGGAAAAATATATAACATATAATACATAATTACGCCTCTGATGTGACAGTTTTGAGCCTTTAACATTCATTTTGCAGTATTCTTGACCTGATTTCTAATGGTGGCACTACAATCTTTCTATAATCTATAATCTAGGATTATGACGTCTGATGTACCACTAACATGGAATAATTTCCATAGAGAACGTTTAAGGTATAATACATACAAATTCTGGTGAAACTGTTCTTACCTCACGGTTGACGAGCTTTTTCGTTGAGGTCCTTTAACTGCCACCGACAAGGGAACACACAGACCACATTGTAGACAGCTTTCCTAAAGATGAAAGTCGATGTTTTGGAAGATTGGGATTAAATTTTTTTGATCGTGGATGTAGGGGGAGAGTAGGAAGTGTCTAAACCAGCAGAGGAATCGATATTACAGGTGATAGAAACGATCACGACTCATCTAGGATGGTTTGGTTTAAATAAATTGATTCATCAGTTGTTTGTTTGGTTTTTTTTTACCTAATCATTTTTTGACATTTCTATATTTCTTGCGTGTGTGTTGACATTTCCCGCTAACATAAGAACAAACGGTCGGAAATTCACATTTTTAAATGAAATGGGAAGTGATTTAAAATCCCCGAGACCAACTCTAACTAGACGACATCGTCGAACTTTATCATTTAGAACGTTTTCCGCTTTACGTGGGCTTCAAAGTAATCCGACGCATGCGCGAAAGTCGTGAGAGGAAAAC